TGTGGTTCGTAACTGTGGCAGGGACTTGGCAAAAGAAGAGAGGCTGGCTCTCAATTAATACTTTCCAGGTCCATTGCAGCCTCTCCTTACTCCAGGGAGCTTCCTCTCGTGGGGTGTTTTAGATCAAGGGGCACAAGGAAAAGCTTTGTACAATCAGAGAACTGTGAATGCAAGGGATAAAACTAGAGCAAACAAGACTCTGGTACCCAGTTTCATCTGTCATGAAGATGACACTATCCTGCCTGCCAAAAGCTTTGTAAGTGTGTAACACTTGGAAGCACATTTTGTGGGGGAATCCTAGTTGAGGGATTACAGGCTCTGCTGGGAATCACCCTTGAGAAACATCATCTCACATTCTCATTTTCCTAATAGTTATTTAGAACCTGCCCCAGACCCTCATTTAGCTCAAATAGGACAGCCAACACTTCCCACTCAGGTAACCCAGGATATAGGCACAAGAGGGAGCCTTTGAGGTCAGTCCTCCATGGTCAGCTACACAAAACATGCATAAATTCAATTCCTCCCCTGCTTCAAGTAACACATTATCAGTCACACAGGCAGGATCTGCCCCACTGCCAGGATGCAGTTACATTTCAGGCATTGACGCAACCCACGTGGTCTCCCATCACAGTATGAAGTCAGCCTGCATGGGTCAGTGGGGTAGAGATAGGGTTTCAAGGGTGGTCGTGTTTCAGGCTGAGCTTGCAGCTGCCCTGCCTAACATGCCATTCCCATTGGCACCATTCAGTTAAAGACACACTGATTGCCTCTCTGAACTCACAGTGCTCTGGAATAACACTGTCTCCCGGGCAAGGCTGCAGCAATGCTTTATGGCAACCTTCAAGAATTAATCGTGGTTTTGGCCAGCACAATCTTATTTCTGCAATGATGAGGTCATGTGCAACAGAGAGCTGCATGGCTCCTAAGAGCCATCCTGGCAGGTTGACATGTGGGAAAGAAAGAAGACAAATTAAGCCTTGCACAGGGTGAGCACAGTCCATTCAGAAAGGTGCTTTCTGTTAAGGGTAAAGTGAAACAGGGAACCTGGTCTTCAGAGACCCCTTAACTAAGTGAAGAAATAAATCCTAGCTACTGAAGCAGAACAACACTCATCTGCAAGAGTTATGGGGAAATTAAGAACTTTCTCTTGACCTTCTCTCCAAAGCAAGACAGATGATCTTATAGGTAAAGCACCACAATAAAAATCTTGGGATCCAGGTTCTGTGTTTCATACCATTGCCATATACTTGCTATATGATCCCAACAACAACTAGTTGTCCTTGTTTTTCTGCCTTTAGGCCTCTGCAAAAAATCTGTAAGGAGCCTTCTCTCCAAGATAGACTGACATCTGATAAAATGGGGAGTTGGGATATAAAGATTGTGAACACTTAGGAAAAAGATACTTACATAAGATCTGTGAGACAAAACTGAACCGCTATGAGAAGAAATGTAGAACTACATTAGAGGAAGCATCCTGAGAAGCACCATGGCAATTTCTCCTACCTTTTCATACTACCAAAACGCTTTTGCAGGGCATCAAAGAAAGTGGAAAAAAGGAAGTTAATAATTTCATCCTTCAGTTAGGTAAATTCCTGAGTAAAAAATAAACTAGAACACAGTGTTAATGACTCATTAGGACAATGAGTTTATGTTCTGACATCTTCTAGAACATAAATAGTAGTGCTGCAGTGATGCTGAAGCACTGTGGGTGACGATGACTTGTTATGATTTCTCTGTGAAAGGCAGACAGGGAGCTTTCAACCCACAGCAATAACAGCACAAAGATCTCATTAGAAACAACACAACTTTTCTGCTGGATCCCAATGTGACATTGTAGAGAGAATGATACAGCACTTTAAATGGTAGATCTCGGAGCACACACTAGAGGTTAACTTAGTGTTTTCAGACTCAAACTTCCAAAAGGAAGATTTGTAAAGTGATTGAACCACCAAGACTAAATCTTCCTTTCTCCCTTGACAGTAGCATGGCCATACACATCATCTTCACAGCACTTTCAGTTTTCTACACAGCAAAAGTAAAAAAACCCTCTTATTACCAAAGAGACATTTTATTTTCATGCCTTACTTTGGATTGAATGCCCTTCATCCAGGGACACTGGTTCATCCAAGACAAGTGTTCAAAAGCCAATACTGATTCAATGGGAAAGGGACATACCAAAGTTGAAAAGAATTTGGAATGAAGATGGCAAGTTCATAGAAAACACCTGAGCAACATTAACACCCTTCCCTGGAAGTAAACACGTAACCATTACTACAAAATGTGTTTGTGAAAAACAGACATGTCAGACTTTTCAGCACTGAAGCAGGCAGTGTGGAAACAGGTACTTCACTGATTTCACCACTTAAAATGGACTCAACCAGTAGCACTTAATATTTAGCTGCATGTGATGATGCAACACAGCCTGCACTATGTTTGGCAAATAAATCCTCTGTCCTTGAGAGCCACACAACACAGAGATTATCAGTCCCACATCTCACAGCAGCTGCATGACTGGTTATTTTGCCCATCCTTTAGGAAATGAACAGGTTCAGTACTGATCCCATAAGCTGAAAACCAGTTCAATCACCTGTGTTGAGGACACTAACACCTTGGTGGCTTGAAGTCAGAGAGGGCATAATCAAACACCTCTTTTCTGATTTATTATCTAGTGCATTGTTGACATTAGTCTGTAGAACTGTTACTTACACATGAATAAACACTGTAGCTCCAAAACATACACATTTGATTTACAACTGCTGGGAAAGGTCTCAAGCCTACTCCAGACAGGCTCACAGTGAATTACAAAGGTTCAGAGATGGCATGTACTGTATCTAGTTGTGCTGCTCTATAGTTTAGGCAAGTTTCCTGCTACTGCTGCGCTTCACACTCTCAAGGTACACACCACCCTGTGCAGGGCAGGGTCTGTCACCAACACTGTCGGCAAGTATTAACGCAGGAACTCCCACTCCCTGAATGAAACACTGAATCCACTCCACAGGAATACCACAGTAAGAAATGAAGTCACTCAGCAAGGAATTTGATTTGACTACAAAGTTCTCCCATTGTTGCTTTAAGTGTAGAGCTGTCCAGTATCCTTTCTGTACCTGTTGTACACAGGTACATCAGCATCCCACTCATTTCCAAAAACTTTCTGAAGTACTTGCCACGTTTTTACCCTCATGGAGGTCTAAACATCCCAATTCTTAAGTGAAGAGAATTTGTGTAAAATTGTGCAGGAATGTTTTTTTCTTTTCTTGACCTGATATAAGCAGCACGCCAGTCTCACTTGGCCACTTCCTGCCCTGCTCTATTCTGTGGCACCATTTTCACGTTTACCATGCTACCACAAAGCTGGTGCTCATCTACCTCTTAGCATTCTCTTCAGTTCATGCTCTGACACACAATGGTTCAACAGTTCCTGTTGTGACGAACACTCCATGTGTGCAGACATGAGGTTTGATTCTATTTCTCAGAAGGCTGATTTATTATCTTATGATATATATTAAAATACTACATTAAAACTATACTAAAAGAACAGAGAGAAAAAAAGATGATCAGAAGGCTACAAAGAACAAAAATATAATAGAATAACAAAATCTTGTGACTGCTCACAGCCTCAGCACAGGTGGCTGTGATCGGTCATCAATTGAAACAATCCACATGGACTAATGGAAGATGCACCTGCTGCATTCCACAGCAGCAGACAGTTAGTGTTTACATTTCTCTCCCGAGGCCCTCAGCTCCTCAGAGGGGAAAAATCCTAGCAAAGAATTTTTCATAAAATATCATAACTACAGGTTCCTACCTCAAGACAATAATAAACACCAAGAAGAGCACCTGCTCCTCAAACAGCTAGTGCCACAGGCAGCTTTGAATGCTTTCTGCCAGAGCCAAACCTGCATCCCTGCTCTGAGGCTGAAAGGCAGCGTGGACAGAACTCTTGCCTCAAGACAGGACCTTCAGAAAAGATTCCCAGAGGAAGAGCCTAAACTCTCCTCATGCAACTTGTGAGTCTCAACTGAGGTAGCACCGAGTGTCACATACTAAACGTTCACAGCCAAAAACCATTGCTAACTCAGGATACACAGGGCCCGGCAGGCAGAGAAACAATCATGACTGCACTCATCCCTGCAGCAGGATCAAAGCCAGGAGAAAAATCAAGACAAAGCACAGGTTTGTCTCTTCAGTTTCTGAAGAGAAAACTCATCAGGAGAAAAAGTAATTATTGATACCATATTCAGGAAAGTCAACTCACCACAGGAAGAGTAACATTAGGGTTGCACAATTACATATTATCAAGCCAGAAAAGCCCCACCAGTAACAAGCCAGAAATTGCACCTAATGTTTCTCTAGATTGTAAGAAGGAATCAAAGGCAACAGCTACCTTCCCACCATCATCTCATACAAGTGAAAGAAGCCAGAAAACAAAAGCCCATGCGTGCATAGCCAAGACCAACACAAAAAAACTCAGAAAAAAAAAACCCTTTTACTCTCAGGCAAGTAACCTGTACATAAAAGTCACTTGCAGTAACAGGGAGCAGCAGTTCCCTGCTCCCTTTCTGTTGCAGAACTACTGGCTCAAGCAAGTTTTGAGATGGAAAGTACCTAATTTTTCATTACAAAGAATGAAGCTCGGGTAACGGTATTCAAAAGCCATTGGAAGAATTCAAACACGGAGAAATCAAATACAGTTTTGACTCTAAGGAAGTTCATTTCATAAGACTGTGGTCGCCTTTGTACAAACATAGTTACAGCTACTGTCACAAACAGCAATGCAAGCTTCAGCACAACTGCTGAAAGCTGCAAGAGTGCAATATAATTTCACAATTTGCATCAGTGGGAAAACCCACCAAAGTCCTCTCTGTTCAACCACACCACCACAGTACTCAGTAGGAAGAAAGAGATCCCATGTTAATGATTGAACACGCTTTCCTCATTCTCTCATAAGGAGGGCACTGTCATTTCTTTACTTAAAAAGAAACAGAAGTCAGGAACACCGGTCATTTTCAGGCTTTTATTAAGAGGAAAAAATATATTTTCTATAGCAGTGGTCAAGAGCAAGCAGTGGAAAAGCTACAGATGTGATGCATACTCTATCGTTAAAGACTCTTCATAAATAGACTCTGTTCATATTTGTTCTTTGAAGTAATTTGCAGAAATAATTTATTTTGCAGCTTTCCAGAACACAGTCACACCAAAGACATCATCTAGAAGAAAAAGGAAACACAGCTTCACAAAACATGGATTTTCACTGGATATTGAGCAACAGTTCAACAATCAACAAAAAGACCCCAGCACAAACCCACAAAAACCAACTCCCATGTGCCCTAGCACCAGAAACCTAAACTGAGGTTTGGATCTCTTAGCAGATGACAGAGGCAGCACCATTCTCACTGCTGAAGGGTGACTCACAGAGGCTGTGTGCTGCCAAGGGTTTCACCGCCCTCACAGGACAGCAATGTTGGCTGTAATGTCAATGAGGATTGCTCTGCCTTCTCTTTCGTAAGGGCAACACCATCATGAACACTACTCTGGGCCTTCCAGTGGCACCAGCTGAGGTGCCAGGGCACTTCAGAGGCAGAGATCCTGAAGGTTGTACTCACCCCACTCAGTCCTGCTCATCTCACTCATATTTTGAAGCCCAGAGCTCTCATACACTCTTTGTGAGCTTCAATTAGGTGCCCACAATTTTCTTCTCCCTTCTCAATAATGCTGCAAAACAAAAAGATTTCCAGGGTTCAGCAATAAAATGTTCACTTACTTTCAGTTAAAGAAACAGAACTGACAAACTGTTGGGGACAATTAAAAATCCCTATTAGGATCCAGAGATACTTTTTTTTTCTATCCTGTCAAGGGCACTGCTGTTCCAGACAATATAAAACCATCCCAAAAAGTTACCCAAGTCTGGAGCTGTGCACTTAAAACTCTGACAACAGGCATAAAAGAACTTCCTGTTAACAGGCCAGGGTCTATTCTGGGCAAGTCCGGATGGGGATTTGTTATACAACACAAGGCTGTCACATCATCAAGTATGCTGAGCTGGTCAGTTTCAAATTATCCAGCAGGGAAGCAACAAAATTTCTCCAGTAAGAGAACAATATAGAACAGGTTAATCAGTAAATGATATTTTAGTCCAACTTCAGTTGCAATTAAAGGACCCTGAAGCAAAAAGCAAAACAAAACACAGCACCTGTCCAGCTATTGTTGAAAAAATGATTCACCATACATGGTAACTTTTGATGTTACTCATCTATCCAAGTAAGAGTCTCTCATTGTTGGTATATCAGGTACACCACAAAAGAAGTTCAGACTTGCTTTTTGACTGAATGACAGAGCTGTTTAGGTTTGTTCTTAGTTTTTTTTCTTTACAATGAGCATGGACACGTCCCCTGGCTGCCCAAGGGAACTCCATCTGACCAGTAACATCCATCCTACTATCCTTTCCTTAGGGGGCCCTGGATTCACCTCTACTCTACCATGTAATTAGCCATGCTCCCCTAAACTTAGCAAAACCAGTGTTCAGTATTGTGTCACCTACCATCTATACCATCAGCAAAGTAAAAAAAAAAGAGAGACAACTTGGTCATCAGATTAAAGTTTTTTAAACTTTAAAGATTTACTGTCAAAGAAGCTCCATTTTGAGGATGCACTTTATACCATTTTATAGGTCCTATGATCATGACTAAGCCTATAATTACCAATGCAGCTATACAGGTCACTGTCGAATTTTGAACTTCTCTGGGAAATGTCATCCTCTGAGACTCAAAAAAAACCCCAGAGTATTTTGCTTTATTTAAAAGAGAATGTAATCTATACTCAGGTGAACAATAAAGAAATTATCACCTGCTGGTACGTGTTGCTTCAATCAACAACAGTGAAGATTTACAAGCAGCATTAAAAGCTGATCTTTGAAACCTATTTTAAACACGGGCTACGAGTTTTTAAACTCTTCGTTTCTAAAGTATCCTTTTAAGTTTTCTCTCCCTATTCACACTGTCCCTCCTCCCTCGGATGCTCCAGCACCCTCCGTCCGGGACGGGGAGCGCCCCCAGGATGCCGGGCGCACGAACCCCAGGAAGGGAGGGAACGCGGCGGGCAGGGCGCACACCCGGGGGAAGGGGGAAGGCCCGGCCGCGGAGGGGCGGCCGCGGGGAGCCCGGGGCCGGTCCCTACCAGGCGTCCCGCGCCTTCTTGGTCTCGGGGCAGGCACAGCAGGCCTTCAGCGGCTTCTTCTCCTCCCGCGCCTCCCCCGCGCCCTTGCCGTCGCAGCTGGCGGCGGCCATCGAGGACATGGCGGGCAGTTCCCGGCTCCCTCAGCCCGCGGGGAGAACGGGCCGGCGGCGGCCGTGCGAGCGCGGCTGGTTCCGGGAACCTCGCCCGCCCCTTCCCGGCCCGCGGCCTGCCGGGAGGGGTGAGTGCGGGCCCTCCTCCCGCCGCTGCCCCGCCTCTTCCTGGCCGTCACGCCGAGGCGAGCGTGGGCGCTGCCACACAGTGGCGGGGCGAAAGTGACATTTTCCAGGGACACGCAGTACTGAAGGAGCCCGAAGGGGAAGGAGGGAGCTGGCAGCGGGGAGGACAAGTGGCGTCGTCAGGCGAGAGCAGCTGTCTCCCGCCGCGGTCAGCAAGAGCAGCAAGTGACGCCCTCGGCTCTGCCAGCGCCGGGCTCCACCCTGAGAGTTGTGGCCAGCCAGCTAAACCGCTTTCTTCCTACTCAGCCAGTGGGGAAAACAGAGGATCAGTTCCTTGTGGGGGGCTACACGGACACAGCACAGTCACCATCACTGGGATCATTAATGTCACGGTTTCATGGCAGCGGCCCAGCAGGGCCGGCCCTTGGCACTGCTGCAAAAGGATGTGCCCTGATGCTTGATCTTTCATGCTTTCAAGCCTAAACAACAAGAAGGGATATTTAGTTTGTGAAACAGAGAGCAACTAACGAGCTCCAAGTGCTGTCCATGCTTGACATGCTTCAGTGATCTCAGACCTTGGGGGGGGAGTAACAAATCTTGGAAAGAAGAATGTGCACTGATACTGGACACAAAGAATGCAGAATTTACAGGCCAGAAGGACATCTGGCAGAATTTCCAAGATGAAGAAGAAAGTAATAAAGCCAACTCAGCCATTGTGTTAAAATAGCTCCAACTGGGTAAAAGTTAATTCTGGTAGGGGGAGATGGTGACCACCAAGTCAGGTACCACTGACTCCAGAAACCCACTGACTCAAGTAGAAGACTGAGCATGCAGACTATATTGCATGAAAAGTGAGAAAATCGTTAACCAATGGAAGATAGAATACTAATTTATAAGACAAGTATGTAACTTGTAGCCAATGAAAACAAATGCCTTTGTTTGCTAAAATGTGTAAATAGTAAAAAGCTTTGGTAGTTGGTGTGCTTGATCTGTGGAATACCACAAAACACCCAGGCTTGCACAACTCCAAAAGAAACAATGTCTTTCTTGAGTGTGTAATTACTGGGTTGTTGCACACCAGGTATAGTTCGACTTTTGTGGACAACAGCATGGGCAATAAGGGGAGAAGATACAGAGCTGCTTTTCCTTTGTAGTCTGTCCCAAACCAAGGCATCAGTAGCCACTCTTGCCTTTTAGATTTCTGCCACATACAAGCCACAGTTTGACTCTTAGGCCATAGTTTGTCACCTCCCAGTGCTACATTTGTGTTTGCCACCCGTCCTGACCTCCAGCATGATACGCACACTAGACTGGCAGGCACACTGCAGACCAAAGGGATACCCCACACAGGCAATGGGGGAAGGGCAGGACAGCAGTGGATGTGACACTGCTGAGACCTTGCAAATGGAAAAGATTAATATGCCCACGGGAATGCAGCTGCTGTGTCTTTTAGTGGGATGTTGCAAGAGTCAAAAAAGAACTGGTAGTTTCTGTTGTGCAGTAAAGGGATCCAAAATCGTAGGAACACTGACAAGAACAAGGAGGAACAGAAAGTGTCATGTAACACTCACTCACTCACCTAATCACCAGTGAATTATCCATGGATCTCTGCTCAGTAGCCTGTTCCCCACTATGCCATTTGTCTGGCAAGGTTGTTCAGGTGACCTGCACCCACACAGCCTCCTGGTTCAGCACACGTGCATTGTGAGGCCATGCAGCCAGGTGTGATGATCTGGAACATATACAGGTTGCACTTGTTGACCAAAATATTATTTTCCCAAATTCACACAAACACGCTGCAAGATAAAAGCTGAGATTAAAACATCTATCAAAAGCACTCATCAGTTGTCCAAAGCAGTGCCTTGTTCCTGTGTTTGTTAAACATACTAAGCATGTTTGTCTTTCCTTCCTAAAGCTTTATCTGCTGGCCACTTTCCAAAGGCCTAGATAGGGCTGTTGATAGCTCTATCTAACACAAACTCTGAGGGAAAGACTGTAATAAAACCTCCAAGAGGATTTCTCAAGTTTGCAGTTGAATGGTATCTATTATTTAGCTTTTTTAATATTAAAAAGAAAGTTTGAAAGACATTGATTTGGCCTGTAGAAACAAGGAAGACACAAACCAAAATACATTGTGTACTCTGGCCCAAGTTATGGAATGCCAAGGGCAGAGAGAGGTTAAAATTTAGTCGTCTTGAGAGATGACTTCAGATGGGTCTGCACAAAGGTATGGCCTCTGAAGACTAAACATCTCTGGAAGCAGCATTCCACTCCAGCAGCCTTCCAAATAGATTAAGGAGGACCACTGCTATTTTGGCCATGCTCCTTGCAGGGTAACAGTTTGTAACAGAATTGCCTCAGAAGAAGGAATCATTTATTGATGGGATCAAAGTACAGAGGCTGGAAGGGAAGAGAAGGAAGAGAATACCCATTAAAGCATGGTTAACACATTTTGATACTGATTGCACCAATTTGGAGTACAATGCAGAGGTGAGACCACAGCCATTTCTCTTCTGACATTGCATTGTGCATAAGAATTGATTGTTAACTCAGTGATTTTTGTTTTCTCTTTGTCATCTGTTTGCTGACAGTGGCAGAAGAAGTATGTTAGAGAGCTATGTGTCAGAATGAACAGATTTATCTAGCAGACAAGAAGGAATAGCTAAGGGCATGTTACTGAGATGAGACCGTGGGAAATTTGTTGGAACAAGTACCCAGGAAAAAAGATCCAGTGAAAATCTGAGTCTCTGAAAAAGACAATAAGAAAAGACCCTCCCTCAAGCTGCCATATAATTTGGCAGCCTGGTGCCACTTGTGAGAGTACAGGGACTGCAGGTAGCACTGGACATTTACAGCTCTTGACTTAGAGGACTAATGGGTGAAATAGGGAGAGACTACCCAGCTGTCATGGGTTTCCAAATTATTTGCCCTGTACAGCCTTTTATCAGAATTGAAGAACATACAGCAGGGGCTCATAATGTGTGAACATCACAGCAGCACTGCAGACATTGCCATTGGCTTCCTGTGTCTTCAGTTTCACCTACTAAAACAATGATTACCCAAAAAAATATCTACTTGTCTCCAATGAACAGGTTTTTCAAGGAACCTCAAAAATGTATTTATATTCATTGTTACTGTTAGGTTGGGTAAGCCCCTATCATTGTCACTTGAAAGTAACAGTCTGGGGTAGGCTGGGGTTTTCCAGATTTTTTATACTTCTGATATACATGATAGAAGGTACATTAAGCAGTGGAAATTTTGTGTGATGAAACTGACCTGAAGGTATGTTGGTATTTTCCATGTAGTGCCTATTCTGGGAACCACTTTATCATCTTGAAAAAAGAAACCTGTTCAATATAGTCTAAAGAAGTATTTTTGGTTTTGACTGAGTATAAACATAAGACAGCCAAAGCTCCAGCAGCCCAGTCAACCATATGTTGTGTTTTACTGTCAAAAAAAGTTGTTTGTGGTTTGTGTCAATGCTTAGATAACGTGAAAATAAATTATTTCAAAGCTCTGAGCAAGATGTCTTGTCAAGACCTGTTGCCTCTTATATTAACTGCCCAAGAACAGGATAGAGTTTCTCTTTCTGATCAGAGTTGCCGATCTGCAATTACCAAATGCTATCACTCAGCAGTGGCACCAGAGAGAGAATGAATGCTGGGATAGAAGGGCTTATGCTCCAATCTAGTACAATGGAAGAGACTCTAAGGTCATTATTTACACCCCCTCTAAGCTCAACTCCACCTTTAGGTGAAGGCAAGGGGTTCAAACACTGGACTGATATCACCTCAAGAAGCAGTGCACCAGTCCCTTCCCAGACTGAAGAGGCAAATCCTCATGTTTCAGGACTACAGCATGAATTCTGTACACAAGGATTCTGTACCACAGGATGGAACCATCCCCTTCCTGGGAGACCATCTTGAAAGTTAGTATGGAGGAAGTCTCCTTGCACTGGCAAGCAAGCCCTTAAAAACACAAGAGCAGAATCAAGATTACTTTAAAAGCTTTTGTGTCTCTTGAATGCTCTACAAAGCCAGTCCTATAACAGCTCCTCTCTTGCCAGAAACACAGCCAAATCTTCAGAGCATCAGCCTGGAGGTGGAAGGCAGTTTGAAAGGATGAAGTCACTTTCCAGTTTAAAACCAGAACTGCTGTCTCTAACAGCAATACTCAGCCCACAGCATCCCAGACATTCTGGGGTCTCATGCTGGGACCAGGACTCTGGTCCCACCCTCCCCAGTAAAGAAGACAGTGACCCTCCTACAAGCTTTGGTATAAACTTAAAAGGTATGAATGCCTTCCTCACATTGTTTTCTGCACATCTCTCACCAGTTTGTGCTAGGATTAGGACTATCATCACTTTCATACTATGCCCCTTCTTGTCACTGTCCATTGAAAGCATATCCAAACATATAAGTAAAGATGAGGAATTTGCCATGCATGCAGCACTGCAAAATCTGGATCAGTGAGTTCAGTATGCAGTCTCCCTGGTAATAAGGCAAAAGAAGGAAGCTGGTGTTTTGTTCTGCGCCACAAAATAACCTGCCTGCCCCACATATGTTAGAAGTAGGAACTATGAGCCTTTAGACACAAGACATGTGGCAGCTTTTCCACAACGCAGATATGCAGCAGCTGATGTTCAATGTGCATTTAAAGGCTGGTCAGGCTTATTTCAGTGCTTGCTGGGGTGACTGACCAGCTGTTCCCTTTTGTGGAGGGAACACCCATAAAAATCTGAGCATTTTGGAATAAATCTTATTGCACAGACTCATGGGAAGGACAGGTGTTTGCATTCAGATGGCTGCATCTGTTACCAACACAAGAAAAGAGCATGACAGAAGACAACTGTCTGTTTTCTGATAGTCTCTACACATACTAATTTAGAAAATTTTAATCTGCACCTGGGAAATAACACCACTAGTCCTCCAAAAGACATGAATCTGCAACGGACTGTCCCTACACTGCAGTCAGGCTCACTGTTTTTGGGTA